TCAAGAAACCCCCGAAACAAACCCTCAAAAACCCAGCAAAAAACAATGGTCCATTGCCGATTTCAAAATCGGCAAACCCCTTTGCAAAGGCAAGTTCGGCCGTAAATACCTCGCCTGTGAAATCAAGAGTGCATTCTTTGTTATGAATTTTTGTATGGAGGCCCTCCATTTGAGGCTGAAAGCCAGAAGGATACATTCAGAAAATTTTTGAAGGTTGACCTAAACTTCCCTTCCACCCCGCATGTTTCTGCTGATGCTAAAAATCTCATTTCACAGCTTCTTGTTAAGGACTCGGCAAAAAGGATCTCTCTTCAGGAGATCAAGAAACATCCTTGAATAGTTAAGAATGTTGATCCCGTGTGAACCTGCTCGAATTAAAGTTTTGCATTAACCTTCTAGTTTAGGACTTGGGTGGATTCAAACTTGTTAAATCTGAAGTTTGACATTCTAACAACTTGGCGACAAAAATATGAGTCTGTTCATGGATCTAAAATCCTGATTATCTTATGTCAATGACTAGGAGTATTAATTTCATTTCAATGATTGTCCTTTAATTCCTCGAGGTGTAATTTCACAAATTGATCCTGAAGATTCAAGTTTCAACTATTTTGGTCCATTAAGTTTCAATTAAAATGAAAAGGTCCTTCAGTGTCCATTAGTGAAACCAAATGTAACTTCAGTGACCATTAGTATAAGTTTTAAATTTCAGTGACCATTTTGTGATTTTGACATATCTTCAGTGACCGTTTGTGAAATTAACCCTAAGGTTATTTTATTTTATTATTTATTAAAGGTAGAATAGTCTTTTCAATTTCTTTTATTTAGCCTATATATAGTCTTTTTGTTTCTACGTTAAATCATTCTTTTACATTCAATTGCATTATGCAGAATTAATGAAACCCTAACCTCATTTTTCCTTTTCTTTATTTCTTTGAATTATTTAACAAAATAATCAAAGCATGCTGCTACTCCACAAGCAAATGATAGAAAAATGGGTCAGCCGTCGAGGAGTAAGTACAGGCGCCATTTCTGTCTAAGACCTACGATCTTTTGGAGGCGGAGGAAGAGGAGAGAGGTGGAAGAAAAGCCGCAGAAAATATGACCATTTTACTTTCTTGGAATTCTGATGGCAATGGATTTGTTGTATGGTCACCTGTAGAGTTTTCTGAGCTAGTGTTGCCTAGATATTTCATGCACAAAAACTTCTCTAGCTTCATTCTACAGTTAAATACCTATGTCAGTCTCACTTTTCCCTCTCTAATTTCCTTGACCATTATAGGTAGCAAGCGTGTTTTAAGGGTGAGTTCTATTCAAGTACTTGTCCATTTGTATGATCGATCAAGTCTGCAGAAGTTTGTTAAGCCATGAATGATTGTTACCCTTTGTAGTCTGTGAAAGATAACAGCAGCTCAGTTCTTGGGTTTATTCATAGCCAGAAGAAGAAAAAAAACAAAGAAATTTATACAATTAGCTCTTAACTTCCCTGCAATATGAAATAGGGATTCAAGAAAACTGCATCGAAAAAAGGGGAATTCCAGCATCTGCTTGTGGAGATCACTCGGAAGAAGTGCAAGCCCAGCACATTTCCGGCATATCTAAAAGCATCCCATGAAAATAGTGGACTGATATTACTCATGGAGGAGAACAAGAACCTGAGAGGAGAGATTGGAACTGCAAATGCAGACATCCCATTTCAAGACACAGCAAATTAAAATTGCTGGAATGCTTCTCTCCATATCAAGTTCACCAGACCAAAATTAGGAGACTAGTTTAGCCCTTCAACTATTATAAAATGCTAATCCAAGCTTCTGTTTTGTTGCTTTCATCATGGAAAATCAATCTCAAAAACCCCTTTTTGTACTGAGATTAGACTCGAATTTCAATTACGTGAGCAATAATAAACAAAAATAAACTCGAAACACATAGCAAAGTGACTCGTCCATGCGAAAGTTACGTCCACTCAGTGTGACAGTCGAATATTTAATCGAAAACCGGCATTCCAAATCGCATCCACTGACAATAAAGGTGCCCGCTTGCAGTAAATGATTCGATGGTTGTTGCTCATGACCGAAAATTCCAGGTGCTGCTGCTGTTTATTTTTTTAGTAGGTCTTTTGAATTCGGACAGAACACCAAATCTGTCTGGAGGCCGTGTCCAAGACGATGACAATTGACAGTGCACAGTTATTCTCTTGGCTTGAAGTCCAATTCCGTATTCGATCATTCACTTAGTCGAGAGTCATTGAGAGATACAAATTTTCTAATTTGAACTGTCGTAAAACTAATTAACAGTGCTGCCGAATTTGAAGTTCAGAACTAAATTATGTCATGAGTAACGTGTTAAGTTAGCACACACTATTCAAGAATTTCATTAATAAAAGGGACATGCTACATATACATAATTTTTGCTGCATGTGGTGTCCACATCCTCACATGGACATGTGGGGTCCACCACATGTGAGGGTGTGGTATACCAAGAATCATTCTTCATAAAATATTTTAGCTATTGACATAAAAACAATAGAACGAGGAGAAAACAACAAATTATTATTGAAAAAGTAAAAATAAAGAGTACAAAATAAGAAGTATGTTGGAGTATTAAGGTTTTGTTTGGCGTGATATTTACTTTTGCTTCGGGTAGAAGAATTTTTGGAAGAACCTATCTTAATTTTTGTTTGAAAACTAACTTTAAAAGAGTTTTCTATTTCGAAAGTACATTTAGAGAAATTCATATTAAACCATCTTCCTCTAAAAACACTTCTAACTAGAAAAATCACTTTCATAAAATAGTTAGACGGATTTAAAAGTGATTTTTGAGTTTCAAAAACTCATTCTGACTTTTCAAAAGTCATACTACACGAGCCCTAAAAATTATTAATATTTAAATTTACTTTTTATTTTGATTAAGATGTTTTTTTAAAAATAAGAGACTCTTGTGTATAATGAATGAAAAGTGCTTTTAAATTTAGAGAAAAAATTTATTTGGGTGATGCTACACGTACATAATTGG